AATATGACAGTCGACACCAAAATGCTACGCGTACAACTGTTATATAAACACTACATAAAAAAAAAGAAAGTGTTTTAGCTAAAGGTCCCATCTAGCCGAACAGTAAGTTGACTTCGTTGGACTGCGATACATACAAATCTTTCGCCGAACTCGAAATTCCCCATGTGCCAAACTCCACCAGCTAGCGGTTTGTATGTAATACTTAGTTAAATAGATGTTTCAAGTACATAAGCTCTTAAGCGCTGCTTTGAACAGCCGACCTTCAGCGCAAAACAAATTTTTTTCGAACCAAAACTACTTCACTGGTTCCCAAGTTTAGTAGGCAAAAACGGTATCACTCCACCATCACGGCAGCATTTTCACATATTGTTACAGGCGTCATGGTTGGTTAGTGGTTATTTTCTCGCTTCTAGTGTCTCTCTGGTTACATTGCTGGTGCCAGTGTCACAAACTGATGTCTCCAGGCTGTTTCTCTGCTTATTTACCGCAATTGAGCGAGTCCACCGAAGGGCTTCGATCCTGTAACTGCTAGAGTGCCATCGGAACCGTTCCATTTTACGCAATTAAGCAGATCCCAATTCAAAGAGAATTAAGATAGAATACTATTGAAGTATTAGTATCATGGTAAAAACGACGAAGCTAACATTGTTGATGACCGCAGATGAGGATACCGGCGCAACAACAACTAAACTACTACTCAGCATGTGAACGACGACTGGCGGGACATTTCGAGATGTCTGATGATTACGAGAACGAAGCTGCTGCGCTAACAGCAAAAAAGCAGACGAAATAACGTCACCGATGACAGCGAAGAAAACGACCCAAATCGGATAACACAGTTAGATGCTGAAGGAAAAACAAGCGGGGGTCAACAAACCGACTGACGAAAAAGGACCAAGATACTGCTACCACGACTGAAGTACTATTTCTGTGTACATTCCATTAGCAAGATGTAGCGGTTTCTGTCTGCTCCTAATCCAGGAACGGTGCCATTTGTTGTCACTAAATGACAAGAATCTGTTCTTGTTGCTTGGTTGTTGTTGTTATCTGTTCGATTGACGGTTGTTGTTCTCCCTGCCTCACGACTACGACCGCCAGGGCCGCCACCCCGTTCACTAGCGACCCCTGTGCCTTTCTTTGATCGCGCAACGACAAGGGGGGGGGGGGGGAGTCAAAGTGTCGGTAGGTCAGGTTCGATGGAACAGAAACGATCATCCAAGAGGACAACAACAGTCGCGACAGCATTCATATTGGTGATGATGGCGGCAAGGCAAAACAGAAACAGAAAAATGGAAGTGTCTGCTGCAGGCGATTACGATGACGCTGACAAGGAAGACGTGGCTATGCTAATTAAAGTGGCGATAATAAGTGATGTGGTGGCATTGGTACCTGCCATTTCTACATTTGTCTCAACCCAGCTCGAAATTCTGGAACAGAAAAGCGGACAAAGATAGGGACATATGAAAATGTGCGGACCCCATCAAGAGAAGGGTGAAGGAAGAAATCGGCTGCGACATAGAGTTGTGTCGCTACAGATTCATCCCTGTCCTAGCGAAAAATGAAGGCCGAAGTTGCGTTCATTGTAATTATGTTTGGTAATTATCCTTTCGCGGAGTGGAAAACGCTCACTTATTATATTTCTATGCGAGAGAAAGACAACAGCCTATATATATATATATATATATACACTGTGACATCCACCGTTTATATATGCCTAAAGTTAGACAATAGTGGGAAAGATGCTCGTACTAATACCGGCAATTTTATATCTGTTCCCTAATTAGCCCTATGGCTGGATTTATACCTTCTATTCCATGCGCGTTTCTATTATGAATAGGGCCATTTTTTAATTTGGGTCACCGCGCGAGTGATGCACTAGATTAATAATATATAGCTTATTATCAGATTTCAACATAATCATCGCGCGTTCCTGAACCCCTGCGCGACGAAACAGCCAACTATCTGACAGTGAACAACTCAGAGTAAAAGGTGTTCCAAGAAAATGATAGTAATGACGGTTATAACATGAAAATAATGAAGCATCAACAAGCACGAAAAGGGACACTAACATTATAATAATAACTCAAGGTGGACACTGCTTTAACTAAAGTTAAAATCGTTCGAAAAGCTGACGTACACATGTAGCTGTGAATATATTTTGTCAACAACGTTCAAACAGCAGAAGTCGGTCCAGCGCTTGTCTCGTTGAAGAAAGGCTTACGTATCGACGGCAATAGACAATGATCAAGCTTTCAGGAAGAAGCAATGAAAAAAAACCAAGGAGAACGTAAGCGGCGAAACAAGTGTAAATTGAAGTAAATGGACTAGGGCAAGTTTTAGCAGAGCTGGCAGAAGAATAACTTTTGGTAGAATAGCAGGCCAAAATTAGGCCGGTACAAGCAGCGATTCTCTTACCAGGTACATGGATGCGCAGAAATATAAATGAAGCAAGCGATGGTATAAAAGGACCATATTAGGGAAGCAAATGGCACCAACTCTAATATTTCTTAACATGAAATAAAATGGGGAAGAATGAGAACGAATGAAGAGATGGAGATTTTGTATGGTGACTTTTGCAGGTTGACTGTTTGGGCTGTTGATGTTAGTACGTACTGTTGGTCATAGAACGGTCTACATGCTGGACGTGTATGGCGCCCAATAAATAAGATGGTCGCATTTGTGAGTTCGGAATCTATTAGAGCTAGACTGGCAAAAAGCTAAATGATAATTACAGTATACGAGACGTCTATCGACGACTGAGAAACTGGGAAAAAGTGGAAGCTCGGTTTTTGCGGCTAGATAGGTTGGTAAGCCAATCCGAAATCTGTATCTAGAGTTCATCCATATTTCCTAAATAGCAATATCGGGGTTATTAAAAAAGAGAAAAGTCTACCAGGACTGCTCGAAATTATGATTTCCGCATTTACTCAGGTGTGTGGTAAGTCATTTACGAATTTTATTTTGTTTATCTAATTGTAGGTAAACGTTCGCTTCTGTAATTGTGCTAGACCATTCAATTATAAATATTCAGCAGAGGAAAGCTCATAGCCATCATGGTTAGTCTCATCATTTGAATGGTAACCTGTTTTTTTTCTAATCATTAGAAATAAGGCTAGATCTACGTGTTGTCTTTATATAGCCCTATTTAATTACAGCGAAAAACAATGATAACATTCCATACAGTTTGTAAATATCTATTATTTCTACTGTCATATTTCTGATCTGCAAACGACTTCTTGAATACAATTTTCTGCTTGATCATTTTCGTCTCTGGCTCAATATGACAAGCTAAACAGAAAAACAAACGAATGAACGAATTAATATAACTGCTGCTTATCGACACTGTGCAGGCCATCTTTATGGCCTACGAGCGACGCAGTCAAAACAAGATTACGCATTTTCTACATTTTCTGTTTTTTATTTGGAAAAAATCTCATTCTCGACGGACTTGGCACATCGAGAAATGGTGATTCGTCGGGTTGCCACCGCTGAAAAAAGACTGTTGATTAATTCATCCTTCCTGCATACGTAGAAATTTCATATGCGCTGTGCATTCAGGATTCAGGGCACACAATTAGGCCAGACGTGATATCAGAATTTAGAACACACAGTTAAACAACATATGCAATCATTCAGGACTTACAGCAATGTATGGATTGGATCCGACCTTTTGTTAGGAATATGTTTCGAAAAACCTGTTTTATCGTTGCGAGTAATCCGTCTAAAAGGTTGACTGATCTGAAGCTAGTAGCTACTTTGGCCTAACCAATGTTGCAGATACACCGCGCCGGAACGCACAAGTACGAACAGAATTTAAATGCGCCCTAGACCTTCGAATAACGATGCGCCTTAGTTAAAAATATAGAAGCCACGAGGTCTCGATTAGAGTTGAAATGATAGGTAAGAGGCAAGTTCACAACGAGTAATGAACCTAGACACAAAATGTAGTGTTTTGTGTGGTATGTTGCAGCAGAAGTTCTTCTAAGGGCCACCTCAGAATTGAGGTCATACATGTTAAAGTAATCGAATTCTAGTACATTCATCTACGTTTCAGTAATTGTCAGTCTAATGTAGAACCGCATGCACGGTTCGCCTTATATTGCTCAGTATCCTTACGATCTGATTCTATGTGATCTGATTCATATGATTTCATTTTGGCCATTCTGTAAAATGTACGAAAACATAACCGCGAGTGAATAGCTTTTAGGCCAGCCAGGGCTGAATCTATGAAAGAGCGATGTTTCCGATCATAGCGGCAGTTCATTGTGCATTTCGCAGCCTGAATGAATTTAAATTCTCTTTATTAAATTAAGTGTAGTTCTAACGCACGTTCATGGCGGCCATCACCAACGAGATGACCAAGAGACTAGTGATAAGTCGGCCCCGGTAGAATTTTGAAATTCACCGAAAATTCTGGCTTTACTAAAAATTGTAGGCTTTGTGTATCTCCATGTAATTACTCCATAAGGACACCAAAATCGAATTCATGTAGGTAGCCTCTGATGCCAGTGGTCTGTTTTGTATAGGATGTAAGGCTTTTAATCCTACTTTGCCCCGGACCTGTCATTGAAAGAACACACAATATCCGAATTCTATAAGAATTCGATGATAGCTCACAAATGATGTAAAATGAGCATATTTCAGACTTTAAGCTTGGGTATCTGCTTTAACGTATATCGTTAAGCACACGTAGACATTTCGCTGTATACGTTTAGCGATCGTTAATTCGAAGCTTAATTGATCATCATGTGGATTTGGCTGAAATCACTCATCTGTACTGTTATAAATAAAATGATATAGCCCCTATAAGTCTGCAGACGAACGTTACTAAATGAATAAGGGTCTCACCGCTTTCTTGCGAATGAGACGGTACTCGTGCTGCTCTTGTCGCTGCGCTGTTTCAGAGCTCAGATCACCTGAATGTTGGCTGCAATAACCGGCAACCGTCCAAATTTCAGTAAACGCTGACCGGTAACGACCACACCGATGCAACAAATTCGATCGCGGTAGGTCTCCACCGGGCTGTCATCGCTGAAAGCGGCCAGGGCGATTAGTTTGACTTAAAGCTGCTAGCTCCCCTGCCGTTGCGCGATTCGTGACCCGCGCGTTTTGATGCTGTCGTTCACCGAAGTAAAACAGCAACGACAAAGCTTCCAGATTGTCCCATTTTTAGTTGTGTCTGTTGTTATCATTAACGTTCTTATTAGCGAAAGCTACGCACTATTAGTTCTAACTATGTTGACTTTTCTGTAGAGTCTGTGTTTCTCTTCCTGCAATTTCCTAAAGGGCACAAATTGACCTGTTTGATGGTGCGTCTTTTTCATGTGATGTTATCGGCCTTGGAGGTGTTGACTGGACGGATAGGCACAGTTCACTGCTCAACATTGTTGTACAGCAACACAGAATCATTTGACATTAGGTGGAACAGGGCAAATCTAGCGAGCGTGTCCTCAGCGGCGCCATGCCTACTCGTACATTCGCATGCCCTAATAAATAGGGGGTCATTAAGGCTGCGTTGAAGCATACTGCTTAACTTGGCTGTTGTTGATGCTGTTATTGACAGCTACCAGTGACGCGATGATGATCATGAAGGGTCATCCTTCGTTAGCTGACCATCACCTTAGCTAAGGCAGGAAAAACTGGTTGTGGGAAAACACATATCAGAAGGAGCATGGACAAACGAGCGATGAAAATGGCGATAGTTGACGTACGTGCGTCGCCGAACAGATTAATTATATACCCTAATGGTACTCTAATAAAGATTATAGTCTAAAACAATTTATACCCGTTTGTAACGGCGAACGCAGTTGAACTGTCGCTAGCGGGTGGAAATTTTGAAGATAGTATTGATTTCAATGAATCAGGCTAGCCATTTAAAGAGGAAATGTATTTTTTTTATTTTTATTGATTTGTATGAGTGCGTATGCGTATGATAAGGTCAGTTGATAAATGTTCCGCTAACCGAAAGTGATTATCAGAATAGTTAATTAACATGACAGAATGCTTTCAAACATCGGACTGATACATATTTATGAATGTATGATTTTGCGATGTTGGAATAAATTAGGCGTAAGATGACGCGTTCGAAAACGCAAGTTGCAAGGACGACGCTTTGCTTGGCAGCTTTGTAGGTCCTTATTCTAATTGTTTATGCTCTCTTCATGGCGGCCAATAGGCATAACTTGGAACTTCGGGCATCGGCGGAAACGTGGTTTATTGAGTGATCTGTCGCTTTTATCGTTCTAAACCCTTATTATGACAATGATCGAATAGATATGCAAAAATGGAGTCGCGAACCTCATATGTGCACTAGATCATTAGAAGCTGACTTTTTGCCCAAGTCATTTGTAGGTGGAAGCTGATTCTTTTTGTAGTGTCAAAACGGTTGATGGAGACATCTCATGGCGGATGTGAATCCGACTGGTGCCTGCCACATCCACTGTACTGCTGTTATCAGCCAACCTAATTCAATACGATTCGGGCAAATGGTTTTTTCTCTCATGGAAGACAAAAAGGCTTATCACATAAACCGGAAAAAGATGGTCGATATAATGAGATCTCTGAACATAGACTTATCTACATGATAGTAGATATTTTTCTATCGGCGCAGCTTTTGAGAGACTGATAACAAACGGGATGCTGTACTGCGATATCAGATCGGATTCTTATCGGAATACTAATCGCGTTGCGACCATGCCTATCATAATTACAATACATCGATAATGATTGTGGTTTTACATCATAGCTACTTTCTTTTTCTACCAGTTTATTTGTTAGATGAATTAAATTAGTACAGTTATCATGCTCATACTACAATGCCGATCACAGCATAATTTGAGACTTGGGCACACTCTGTTGAGTTGGGAACGAGCGGCCGCATATCCACAGAAACTATTCGTTACCTTCAAATAGAGCAGGAATAAGCATTAAGGATTATCGGAAGGCGCCGACATTTGTCAGTATTTCAGTGTACAATTCGTATGCCGTCACGAACCGAATTCCGGCTTGCTTTTTGCAAACGACCACGGGCGGCCGACATCAGCTCCTCCTTTTTTCGCCACTTCAGTTACAACAGCTGCTGCCATTAATGTGGTTTCTCTTTGAGAACTATTTCATTATATATTGTGTCACAGTCCCTATGCTCACCGTCGAGAGCTTTGTGTTACCTTGTACTGTTTACATGTATGTGCAGTTATACGAGCGTCAGTGCGTGTGTGCGTGTTACCAGTCGCCGGACCCAGCGGGTTTGCCATTCTGCCAAAATCTGTTGAACTCTCGAACTAAGCACCGTTCCTAAGCGCCTAAGACGAACGCGATAGTGACGACGTCGATGATTATGATGATGAGAACTACAGCTATGGGGCTCGTTTGGTTGGCGCAGGTTGCTACAGGGCTCAAAAGAGTTACGGGCTCAAGTACGACTGACTGCTACCGCATGGTTTTGGTTAGGCAGAAATTTACCGTTGTATCTTAATTACACCTTCTTTCGAATCGAACAAATCAACCGAACGGTATAGAGACGAATACGTAAGCGAAGCTGAGCAATGGTGGGCTTGTGGACATACGAGTTCAAACAGGGCCAGCACAGCAGTCGAAAAGTCGCTGACCAAGCCGCCAGTTAAATCCACGCCGCAAATGCGCGCTGGGTTTGTTGTCAGCCATTTCGTCCGGCTTGCCGGTCCCTTCTCCTGCTACTGAGTCAAATTTGCCAGACCTTTGGGAAATGTTATTGCTTATAGCCATATTGCAGTGGCACGAGAAAGCACATACACGAAACAATTCACGAGTTGTCTCAATATATAGCTGACAGGACTTTCGAAGTTATGTATTCCGTGGACGAACATCGGGTAATGGTTTTTGTTAGCCAACCATTGGGAACGATGTGCAAGACCAACTTGCATTAACCGCTTTCAACGTTCCAAGTGAGGGCTGCTTGTTCGTTCATCAAACGATATCGATCACTTTTTAAACGCGGGGTATCATCATATATGACGTTCTAAGAAGGAAATCAACTGATTAAAATTCGTGCCCAGTGCGAACGCAAAGAGTCCTATGTGACGATCGAATTGAACGTGAGTTTCTGTCTGCTTTGCCCAAATTACAGTCTAGGCTCAGCATGGCGATTGGGTAAGGGTTCGATATAAATCATACGATGTAGGGTCCGCTTAGGTCTCCGGCGCTGGAGAATCAAGATGGCCAGTACGATTGAAATTAGTGGCGTGGCCACTTCAAAAGAAAGCGTGCTATTTGAGTATACAATGAGAGACATAAAAATGATAAATAAACAAGAACAACCGTTAAGAAGTTGACAGAAAGAAAGTGACGCTGTTTACCGTTTCACACATCTAGATAAAAGGCAGTCGTAATAATAGGAGTAACGGTACAAGTCAATGCGTTGTGCTCCTGCGTGACGAACGTCCCATTCACCCATTGTTTTCCGGTAGACTGTTGCCGTCTTCTGGTAGACTGAAGAGACAGGTAGAGCGGAAGAGATAGGTGACCGCGAAATTGCTAAATGCCGGTTGACACGAAGCAATCAGTTGGAACTGGTGCATTGCAGAGGAGGTCGTTGCTTGATTGGTAAAAACGCGCTTCGGTATCGAGCGTCGAATGAACTGATAGTTATGCTGATAGGACTATTAGTTTGGGCAACATGAATACAGGGTATATTTGAAGTCAACATGGACCACCACTCACACATATTATGTATGGCAGCAGAATCGACATAGCTGCTGATTCTATAAAACAAACCAGCACAAAGTACGATAATGTGCAAAATTTTAAAGCAAAGAAACCATTCGATTAAATTACTCGCACTTGGCTTTCTGTTCCCAATCTGCAATCAAAATAGCGATAATATTATCGTATAGAAGGGGCTACTGGTGAATTAGTTTTACAGTCCGCCATGAAAAATTCTAAATAGTGCCAAGAGTGGTAACACACATCGAAACACCATTATATGTATGATTTTTTTACCTCAAAGAAGTCACTAATATAGCTGCTAGTCGTATGTTATTTGTGATGCGTCTATAGGAAATTTTCTTTATGGAAATACACAATGCCTTACACGATGCATTACCTGATTCAGCGGGCGGGATAGGTACCACATCTGCATACTACCCGCTTTCCACTACTATGTGCGACGGTCCTGAATACTCTGATAAGCTGGAAAAACAGAACAATCCTAAATGAAATCAGACCATATGACAAATCGCTTAATGTCGAAAATGTCAGCTTTAATGCAGGACGGTTTTTGGTATAGATTCATTGTAGTGCACTGCGCCCGACAATGTTAAAGCTTAAGTACTGTAATCTAGTTTTACGTCTCCTTACTAGTAAAAATAAAAATTTATTGACATAATTTTGATTTCGGAAAAAGAAACGGGAAAAATAAGTATTCTTCCGTAAAGAGCGAATTTTTAGTGTGTAGAAATTAATACATACGTATCTGCAGCATAAAGCATTATTATTATTATTATTAATTATTTAAAACCTAGATTGGTTGCTTAAGGTTTGACGTTGGCGTCAGTATAGTTTCTCGTACAGCGCACTCTAAAATGTTTAATACAATAATTATGAGAATCGCCTCTGGGGCAAGCTGTTATCTCAAGCAAGCTCTTTTAAGAATCATCAGCAGCTTGCTTTCATATCATTTCATAGTAGATTCTATGAAGCAATGACACGCTCGCAATAGAGACACGTTCAGGTGAACTGTGAACTGTGAACTTTGCTTGTATAATTCATGTGTTAAGGTTGCCATTATGCATACAACAAATCGACTAACATGAAGTCAGACCTAAGTTGGGGGGGGGGGGGCAAGAATGATAACGATCTCAATTGTTTTTTATGATTTAGGTATTAGTCTTTAGCTTCAGAGACATAGAAATGCAGATATCTATATTTTCTGTCACCAGTTTCCGTATGGAGTCGATAATACTACTAAGAATAATGGTACGACTATGTCTGTGGCTGTTTAGATCTAACATTGTTGCAGTATGCGAAACGACTGATCTTGCCAGACGATCGGCAAAGACAATTTGGACAATGAACGAGCCTACCAACCCCCGGCATCGGATATAATCAGCAAGCAACAAAATCAGCAGCGACTCAACGTTGTCAGTAAAATAACGCCGGCCCAAATCGTCGTTTGCTGAGGTTACCTGATTATATACCTATGTAACTGACGGAAAATAAATAACACGTTACCAACAGCCAGTTGCGGCTATGCTCTGTGTTTAACAGATTGAAATCGTTGAGCAAGTATCACATAGTAGTCAAACCTGATATACGGTGCTTGGAAGATGATTAATCGGAAAAAGTCTCAAGTAGTTTTACAATAACTCCGAGGGGGACGATGCTAACACAAGTTCATTATACTGGTAACCAATGGTTAAGCGATTTGCTCATGAGGTAGGCGTTTTGTTAAAGAACATCGGAGCGCACACCTGTCATGTACCACAAAGAACCCGTAACAAATACATTTATAGAATCTAGTCACTGGTTGGAGAGACATGTTATGAAAACATTTCCTTTGCACCGAGAGCGGGTCTGTCGTTTTCCGAAAAACTAAGTGTATCATCGCATTAATCCGCCATTAAATCCACTTGTAAGATATAATGACAAAACTGGAATTTAATTAGTTCATAATGAGGCGACACATTGATTCGTGTTTTCGAAAGTGTGCGAAAGCAGTTGCATCACTGAAATTAATTTTGATATTAAAGAAAACAATCACAATAGATTTGCTCCGTTATAATAAACCATGTCTTTCGTATGTCACCACAAGAATGAAGACACGTTATGTCGATTTCGAATCTAATCGACTGTTAGAATGAGTATCCAGAACGTCGTGGCTCCGTATCGCAGCAAAAAGTAGACCGTAATTTCGCCCTCGGTTGTTGTTAGTGGCTACCCATCACCTAAGTCCAAACCATCGTCAAGCGGCGACTGCCCATTGGTACAATTTACCTTATTATTTGTCTCATTTGCCACTGGCTTTATCGCCAGTCCCACATCGTTCTGACAGAAGCAGCAGCAGTAACAAGAAGAACAAGACTCATTTCAGCTTCTGTTCATCTCAAATCGTTGCCTATCGTCCGCTTACATGGGCAGCTTTTTGGTTGTTTACCATTATCCTCCGTTTGTCCATCCTTAGTCGTTGTGTCGCTAAAGGAATAGTCCCTTTTCGCCTGACGGCCAGGCGACGATTTAGCAAAGCAAGACGCGACATCTGCCACTGCTGCAACGACTTGCAAAGCGTCGCACAACACCGTTATGTATAACCCCTTCTTCAACCAGATACTCGAAACATTTCTCTCATTGCTGGAGCACGCTCGCTGGCGCTACCGTTGCCCCACCTGTTTGGTGATGTCGCCGCTCTGTGATGTGAACGCATATGAAGACAGAAGGAACAGGCAGCCTACCTGGCCCTCCGCCGTTTGCAGTAGTTACGTGGCAATGCTCACTGCCCGGTTCATGGCCGCTCTTACTATTGATTGCCCCCCACTCCCCGGGGACTGCCTCTGTCTCTAACGACCGACGATGGCGACCGCAAAACAATGCTTGTTCTTATCTTGCTTGTTGTAGTTCACCCTCTTCAGCTAAATGTACAGAGGTCTGCCTGTGGGTCGGAGAGATTGGGATGGCAATGAGTAGATGTTATGGCTTTTGGTAAATGACACAACAGGGACGAGGGCAGACGCAGATATGATAGAGCAATGATAATGTACATATGTATAAACACGTATATATGGTAAGTCATGTTGTCTGATCTACGCACCAGCTTGTCAGAGTGCATGTGTCAACTGGTTATGTGATCTATTGTGGTTGGCGGGTTTAGCAGGAATCAACCACATCTAGTAGCCTATTTATTGTATAATAGGCTAGAGTGCTAGACACCAGACAATAACTACTGTGAGCGTAACATAAATTTATTCTCACAGTAAGTGAAAAAATACGGATCGCAATTGCTGGCAAAGGATAAGTGGATAATGAGTAATGGCTACGATGCAATGATGACATAATAAATAAGGATCTTATCTGGGTGAATATAATTTAACTCTGGAATAAACAAAGAATGGCCCTAATCATCTTAACGATGTCAGGTTTGTAGAAAAGTTTTCGAGTGGAAATGCACTTTTGTCAGCTAATACTATATGCGAGTGCAAAGCTACGTAATTTTCAAGGACTTTCCACCAAACAAGGGGCAGGTTCATAATATGCAGGTACACATAACCTTTAGTCTTGTAAATCTAAATAAACGCTTCGAGTCTTACACCCAGTGCTGCTGTTAACCACTGCCTCAGATGACTGGTTCCCGGTACGAAATGAGCCACCAATTTTAAAGTCAACTAGTATTCTAGATTCAAAACACGCTTCGTTCGGTGCCTTGCAAATCTAGCCATCATAACTAGTTATTTTGGTTCTGTGTAACCGTAGCTTTTCAAGAGGTATCTCTTGACGAACGAGTCAATGTCCTTCTTTCTTAGCACTAACGAATATCCTTAAAGATGGCTAAATCGTGCGCCAGTTACCACCGTTGAATCCTTCAACCAACGTTCGTTTCTGCGCATAACAATCCTAGTTTCAACAGCGAAAGTACAAACCAAAAGGTGAATATGTGGACAATACGGAAAGTGAAGCAAGATCAAAAAGCAAACGACCTTGTGTGGCGATTGAACTTAAGCAGAGGAAACCGGAACCATTAAAGTCTATTTCCTATGCCGTAGCGAAATTGCAAAAAAGTACATAGAATGATGACTGCATGTTAGAAATGTTTACATTGTGTCAAATGAGTCAGTGCGTTAGAATGTGTCGATTGAGATAGATATATCTGCCGGATACGTTGGGTGCAAGATCACAAGTTCCCTATTCTGTAATGAAGTCTTCAAAGGATCGACTGCGGCTGGATTGGTTAGCGCAGAAATAGGCCTTTAGGCTTTGTTCCTACTTGGGACATGGTAGTCTTATAGATAATTCGATTAACACACTGAAACGAGAACTTCTGTCCCCTATCAAAGCTATTAAAATAACAGGATGGCAATTTCGTATTTCTCGTACACACACAGAGTGCTGCTAAAGGCATAGTGTATATAATTGTACGTCTATGTATTACATTATATTATATGTGTCGCATTAGCAGGTAGACGCGGGCAAGTTTGACGAATATGGCTGACTTACCTACTAAAGCATTTGCCGTACCGGAAGGAAACAGGACAGCCGATTTGTCCGCCGGTCAACAGGAACAACAACGACTAAATAGGCAGGATAAAACTCGTGGATGCAATCGTTCGGCGATGAAAACGGGAGTCGCTGCTTTTCAGACCAGCCGTGAGCATTGGAATCGTACGTCCATATACGACAGTCCTTTAATAGCTTCTGCGTGATCCGCCACATTGGACCGCACTTACAGCGGCCTGTATTCAGGACACTCGGTTGTAGCCACTGACAGAAACCAATAGTGTTGGTGATTATACATTTGTTCTGTTGACGACACATTAAGATTGTCTCTGTTGCGACGGTAGCCAATACAGCGAACTGGTTTACAATTATGTGAAATAGAACGGAATAACAGTTTTTGGGCAGCATTTGAAGAGGGGCATTTTCTTATTTAATTCGATAGTACCAGTAGTCCGTCAAGTCTTACTAGTGTGTACGGTAATGTACATTAATCGAAATTAAAGTTAAACAAATAAGCCCAAGTGGCTGATGATCGTACTGCTATAAGAGATCTTAGGGTTCGGTTTGGAGGTTTTTCGGACGTCCAAAATCTTACCCGAATCGAGAATCTTACATTTTCTTACCCCAACACGTCTTACCTATGATCCAAGTAAAACTAAGAAACTAGAAAATGAACTTTAAAAAGATAGCTCGCTATTAATTTCCTCTAATTATCGTTGAAAAAATATAATCGTGTTTTCTGTCGTGAACCTTTTTCACACTTCAGGCCCGAGGTCCCTACATGACATACGACTGCAGCATTACACATAACATCGCAAAGATACTGGAAATTTAAGCTATGGCAACCATGCCTATCAACTAAATAGATAGTACATAATCCATGCATAATAATAGCTTCATTTATCGACTATTATATGGAAGTCACAGACCTCCACTCGAAATGCGAACGGAATGAATTAGCATGCGTGATGGCACATCACATTGCAAAGATGGTAAAATTTTCATTTATGATGTGCACTCCAACTTTGCTAAACTTAAATTTTCTCCATGCCTGCGCATTCAAATAGCGATATCAGAATTGCAGCGCTTCCTGTTGTTCACATGCACCGAATTGCTTTTCTTTGAAGAAATCAATTTTCACAGGGCCTCATTCTCATTGATAGTCTGATCAATATATAAAAAAGAGAAGACCTTTGCTCACCAGTGCAACTTGCCATATATTTTACTATGGACGTGTGGCACGAATTTGAAGAGGCTTCGCTTTGTATATACATGGTTATTATTTTCGAGGCTTCAACTAAAAATGCCAAAGAGAAAAAGAGCGCGTAAGCTAGAAAGAACAAATAGCCAGTGACACTGTTAAATGGAACAGATCTTCTATTGATCATTTGTCAAATGGCGGGCGGACAGTGGACCACGAAAAATACGGACGACTCTGGAATTTGTCGGTCGGTCGGATTGGTCCGACGGCACGTCATCGCTTCTATTAAGTACCGTTGAAACGTCATATTCCGTTCGAGGAGCTTCTACTGAATTCATGTTCTTGCCTCTTCTCTCCCCCTCTTTCTCTCTAAGAGGAACTCGTATTCCACCGCGACTGCAGAAGATATCCAGAAGTGTCCTGGCAAACTGTTCGCCACCGATTTCAGAAATGATGCCGGACGGGATAATCTGCCAGTAGAAGTCGGGTGACACCTTCTGGGTCAACTACAAATCCGAAAGCGAACGAACGAACGCGATCAAAGGAAGAAAGCAAAATGAACGTACTGCCCCATGTTGATACCCTTTTTTTTTTTATAGAAAAGCACCGATTGAACGCATAAACGTGTAATTTCACTGTTATATTACATTTGCAGCTGTTGCCGCTACTGCGTGTCGAAATAGCTAGCAGTGTTTTTGTTAGTATGCGGCCTAGTACAACTACCATAGATGTTTCCCCTGCGGCTATTGTGGTTATAGCAACCCGAAGCAAACGTGTCACGAGCATGAACAGGACTTAGCCAACTAATAGAGCCGATCAGTTAACTAACTTCGTCAAAAAGATCCGATCCAGTTGACGCGACGACACTATCTAGGTGTAGTACACGCAGAAATCGATACTGATGCTTACGTTTGGCCCGCTGCGCTATGTTTAGATCTTCTGTCCTCAGACTATATTTCTATCGAACAAGCATAGGCCGAGGAGACTGTCGAATGTCAGCTTAATTCTATATACGAGACGTAGATGCTATACAGATCCCTGCGATTGAACACCTCTAATATCTTGTTGTTGTGGCAGACCAGTAGTCGATATACTGAAGCGGAACGGAACAAAGCGACGCTCGATGCAAGCGTCTTTTCCTTGTAAATCGCTTGTCTAGATGCTTGCTGTGTTGAACCTAAAAAGCAAAAGAGTATACGCGTGTAAAGAAAGAGCCACCGATTCCTCAATACGTCGTGATTCATACTAAACCTGAAATTCCCAGAAGTGTCATGTCCCGTTAACTAGATGATTCGTGGGGTAAGGGGTGAGTGAGAGCCCAGAGGTGTTATCAGACCCCTGATCATCGCTTGCTTGGCTGTCAGTGGGAAGCCGTTTTGACTGGCAGCCGATAGAAAAATGCGGCACGGGACGTGTAACGACCAGGCTGTTGCAGGAGATAAATGCTGCATTCGGACATAAATTCAAAGGCGACGAGGAATTAAGAATTCGTTTATGGGTTTGACAAACAAGGAGAAAAAATGTTGATAAAAAAGCATCTGGTTACGCCTAACGGCTGGCTGGCTTATTGGTAAGCGGAGATGTCCATTGCTGCGATATTTGTAGCAAAGCAAACAGTGAAAAGATGAAGCGAAACAAATATCGAGATACAGCTACTGGAGAGATGCTAATATAAGCTGAATTACTTTCTAGGGAGTATGCATATGTCTAAAACGTGAAAAAAAGGTGGTATTCTACAGGGTTGACAAATGTTGTTACTAGTATGTATGCTTACGTAAGCGCGGGGAACCTTAGCAACACGACAGTGTACCTAGAAGATTGCATTTAATGCCTAAAATATTACTTACATCAAGTGTTTTCTCTGGGTCTTTCTAGCGACTTCACTGACGAAAATAATTGATATCTCACTCAGCTGTCCCTTTTGAGAAATACGAACCTTTGAACCTTTATATAACAATATACATCGAATGAGAGTTTTTCTGGATATTTAGCATGTAGTAAAAAGACCTTGAATGGGCAAGAAATGTATGCCTAAGCATACAGGGAACATTATTACTACGTCCCAAATTACAGGCTAATAGGATAAGTTAATTGTTGCCAAACTTATATCACTGACAACGTTCGTCAAGAACCTGCTAAGCATACTAATGTTTCATCGGCTTGTAAATTCTATCGAATATCCATAGTTTCAAAAGGTAACAAAAACAAGCCCTTTAATACTAATGTCAGCCAACCTAAGAAGGACGGAGGTTTTTTAAACTGCTATATCGGACATCGCTGATTCTTGCTGCTTACTCTTTAGCATTAACGGTTATCAGACATAACGATAAAAAGCGTCTGTTGTGCATACAGAATATCTTCGCCTTCCATATTCATTACTTAGCCTCTGCTTACAACAAATACAAATGGAGCGGAAATGATATATATATATATATAAGAAAAAAAATTTATTATTAATTCTTATCTAGCGTCATCCACGTGGGGAGCAAGTAGCAGCGCAATTACAGTCTTCTTATGCCTTTTCAATTAGTAAACATTGCTCGTTATATATATATATATATATATATATATATATATAATCATTATATGACCAAACCAGCTTGCCCAAGTCCAGTGAAATTTCGAACGTCCACACCAAAAACCTGGATCGGGTTTGTTATCAGTCGAACGTTCCCGCATAGTCCCGTTCATCTATAATTTATGGAATGACGATTGCAAACTATCGTTTATCAGCGGATTATTCAATTGTAGTAACAGACAAACAAAAGCTTCAACCAATGGGACGGTGACGACGCAAATGTCGCCGAATGAATAATTGCGTTTTCTCAAAGGCGCGTATGCCCTATCATGTCAGAAAATATGACTCACTTGAACATAAGTAGAAGCTAGCAAAGAGAAAACTATGCGTAAATTATAATACTCGCCACTATAAACTGTGTCAGCTCGCGCAGTAAGAAGCGACTCATGACCACATTGCCAATCCACGATAGCGTATCTATGGCGTATATAATGCATACAGGCAGTGATACATACAGATGAAGTGCGGACGTTTGCCAATAGGTGTATAGAGACATGCTAATGGATCAGTTGCCATCAATACAGGTTTGCTGGTTCGCGGTAAGTATGGATGATGCTGGATAGGATGCAAGGATGTTTTGGATACAATAACATAGCAGTAAAAAGCCTTCAAACCATCGATCTGCTTCGTAATTGTGGTCTTAAAAAAACCGACGACAGCATTGCAGCCGATCGAACTGCTCGTGTCCTGTGCTACTTGATACAATGCACTAATACTGAAAGGATCCGCACGACAAGTAACAGTAGAATGCTGCGATTTGTCGTTCCTTCTAAAAGGAATAAAACGCTTTCGATTTTGGTTGATATATATTTTGTTGTGAAATGAAATTTCACATGAAATCCTGTTTTCATTAAAGGTTGTTTTTCCTGGAAAATTAAACACCGATGATAAAGTGGTTCGGCACAACACCCGTCCCCCTAATTACTTTTTTAATTTCGAGGCTCATCGGATCTCCCTATAGGCCGTTCCTGAGTAATGCTTCTTCTCTGCTATAGACACCGTATAACAGGTACCACAGTTTGGAACTGCTTAGCATCCATTTGGGCAATTATAACAAAAGGGATGACGTTAAGTAGAGATTGCCATGGTAACAGAACAGTATAGGAATGCGTACAACTTAACCCAATGCTCTTACGCTGGCACGGCCCAAAGAATTCTGGTCTCCAGTTATAATAGCCCTACTTGATGTTCTTGTATAATATATTCTACGATATCCGACTCACACCTGTTGCCTATTACTGTTATTAAGCTGTACTATTGGAATCATCGTTCTTTCAGCACAGTGAAATAACAAAAAGAAAATAACAATGGACGACGTGTACAGGTCTGCCTACAGTTGCTGGCCACAGTGATTTGCAAGCAAGACTGTTCATGTTATCGTGAAGGATAAAGCGATGGCTTTCAAAGGAAAACGTATTGACGATGAAAACAGCTGCCGAGTATAGAGAACCCGTTAGATTCGGCTGCTACTAAAATATGGGCTTTCCTTGATCCCCTTTATGTGAGGCAAAAATGTCACGTACTGCCAAAATGAACCAGTAGATCTTCATCTTCAGTCTATACAGGTGTTATTCTATCATGGAACAAATATATATGCGTATTCATATAGTGTTCGTTCTGATAATACACTAATTTAGATATACTATGCTTCATGTACGCCAATGTGCGCAAATGCCCTATCCTGTTTCGATTGCCAGAACCTAACTGTTAGTCTTTACGGCGGTCCTACTACCTAAATTCTAGTTTTGAATGATTATTTTTAACAAGTTCATCGTACTACCGAATTTCATATTAGTTTAATGTCATGTAGTTAGCGAAAAATCTGTCTACTTACTATATTTATTAGTGCTGGGGACGTCGGTCTGGGTCTGCTCTTGAAATCGTTCTTTTTCAGCAATTTTTTTATTCAGAATTCGTTATGAGTATGCAATAATTTTAGCTGCTTATCTGAGCTACCTTTTCCGCTATACATTCTTCCATATTCATATTTCACAAGGGGCTCTATGTAGGAGAACTGTAGTTTAAACTAGTTAGATAATTCTTTTGCACGACTTATTCTCTTGATTTAATACTTTTGTTTTTACATCGAAATCTATGTCGGGAAAAGAATGGAGTTGTTCTCCATAAATCAACGACGACCAGCGTCATTGGGATCTCATAGGAACGTAGATCTCATAGAGGCCGCGTGACCGCATTATAAAAACGGATTCAAACATTTTCTACAAATTTGCATAGATACGTAAACACATCATCTAAATTGGTTAGCCAGCCAGCCAGCCAACCTGATCTGATCAGCTTTGAAATTACCAAATATTAATGGAAATGTTTATAACGGCAGATACTTCATTTAAACCTCGCAGTATGATAACGGTATAGACATTCGTTAGTTTGAAAAGCGTTTTGTTTTTCGCCTTGGAATGCTATTCTCTACATTTTCACTTAGAAATTTCCACGATCATTGCTTCAGCTACGTGTATCAAGCTTGAAAAATTAGCAGACCAAAAGAGTCAAGGATCGATGTGGATACAGTTACTTAGTTTTTTTTTCAAGTTTACGAGTACGAAAAAAAACTGCAAGCAATTGATCACATTAGTAGCACAAATTAGTCTATTAGCTAGTAATTTTAATCGCAAATAATTCGAAGCAAAATTCAGTTTCTAAACTTTAAACTTGTGCTATTATCTGTCGCTCTTAAAAATTATATTTGAGCACTAATAGAGAAAGACCTAATCACTTAAAAAGTAAAAAGGTTTTTTTCGGACAAAGTAGACAAATTCATATACTAATCAACTACGTCTTTAGTGAACTTGATTTAAGACCGAAACGGGTTTATTCAGTATATACTCCACCTAATTGCATAGCAAATAAATTCAAGCAGGCTGCTAATACTATCGCTTCGAACTTGAACCAACAGCACTTGCATATAGATAAACCCGACTATACAATTGAAACACATGGGTATTGCTTATCTATCCTATCTTATTTATATAAAAGTATAATAATAATAAATTATGATTGTAGGTCTGTTCCTGTAGCTGGTATGAAAATCCGTTGCTGCTCACGTCGACCGTCTATAGACAGTGAAGTGTTTACAAAAATATAGAAAACGTTTAGAATTACTGATCTTCTTTCTGGGTCTTGTTAGGTATCAAACCGTATGAACAATGATATCCATGTCCAGTTATACACACGGACCATTTATATCTCCTGACTTGGATTAGGTATTATGCAGCTGCTCATGCATAACACGCATAAGCAGCTTTTAAGACTGGTTCGCTTAGTTCCCGCTTTGCCCCGAAATAACAGTGAAACCTCCGATTTGCATAAACTCATGAATTGCATCAAGTGCCCATGAATCGATGCTGGGCTCGTACACTTCAACGGTCGGTATGCCATTTGCCAAAATGTAGAGTCGTCCATTAAGCGGCACAAATGCTCGGGGAATTAAATCACGTTTACGTTCAGCCAATGTCACCCATGTCTGATTTGCTTCGTCGTAAGCAAGCATCATCTTAGGCAATGAACACCCTGTTCGGCTTCCTATTACGTAGAGCCTGTCAAGTAGTATGGCAGCACACTCGACACACTGCAATGGACAA